GTATTGTATTGTATTGTATTGTATTGTATTGTATTGTGAGAAAGTGAATAGTCCAAAATCACCCAGCTAGCTTTTCTTCCTAAAATGGGACTAGCACTCCTACACTGTTGTATGCTTGTTTGTTGAAGTATAATTCTCTTAGCTACTTGAAAAAAAAATTCTGGTAGAATACCTGCTGTGAATGCTTTTCCAAGGAAGGCTTGTATAGTCTAGCACCAAAGAAAGATTGTTTCCCAACTTCCTTTAAGATGTCTGAGTGATTTATATTACCTGATACTTAAAGGTTCTCCCTCCCCCCCTTTCTGCTAGTTATCTTATGACTTTTTATTGTTTCATGTAAACTACAATAATACTTTAGTATAAAAGTAGGATAAAATAATTTATAAAATATGGGTGAAAACTCATGTGGACTTCCATTTTAGGTCTTGCGTTTTCAGAGAAGGCAGTTTATATTTTTGTTTGGTCAAATTAATATCAATGATTAATTTGGGGCTAAATAAATTCTTACCAGAAGATACTTTCTTACCAGAAGATACTTACCAGAAGATACTTTTCCTTTACTTTTGCATTAAAACTACATTTCAGTTTTCTGATACATTTTCAAAAGTTCATTCCCTTCCTTTTTGGTTAAAATAATATGCTTTTATTGAAATATTGATAGGTAATGACCTACAGATGCTATGGAGAGTCATATTTCTGAAGAAAGCACCTTTTGCAATTTTATTCTCTAATAAAGCACTGCTTTCAAGGTATGATTTTCCTCTTTTTGAGGGAACTCTGGTTTCTTAATTCCTGACATTTACTTATTAAGTTTATATGGCCATCCGTGCATGACTCTGGATCACTAACAGTTAAAACAGAATAAAAATACAGTAAAAAAAACCCCAACAACTTTAAAAACAATAAAATAATTGGACTGCTATGTTATTTTATGTTAATACAATCAAGACCCAGAAACAGCCTTGTTCTTACTATTAGGGTCTTGGGCTTGATGGCAAAGCCAAGTTTTGAATACCCTGCAAAAGTCCAGCAGGGTTGGGGCAATTCTAATCTCTAGGGGAATGGTTTTCTGGAGAGCAAGTACCACATCACATTTTGTTGCATTCTTTAGAAGTAATAGATGCTTTACTGTGAAAATGGAACTCTTCAGAAAAGAAGTAGTTTAAATTTTAGTGAATATATAGTGGTTTCATGCTGGCTAGGAAGATAACCAAAATAATTCGAAGTAGTATTAATCGTTGTTTTTGTGTGAAATCAAACTTTATCCCCTTTGTTAAGTATAGTAACTTTTGTAACAAGAATAACTTGGATTAGAATTTTAAAAGTTGCATATTCAAGCAGCAAATTCTGATGTTGGCATAAAAAGTACATGATTTTTTTCCCATATAGCAACCTACTGATGTTATATCATATCATAAATATAATACGGCAGGTTTATCCTGCCCAGGTTTTTTGGTCAGAGTTTCTTTTAATTAAAGACCTTAAAGATTGAAATGGGGTCTTTCAAAAGAAATTAATGTGCCCTACCATTGAGGTAGGGTTATAAAGTTGAACCTTAGTTTAGGTAGAACTTTGTTTAATATATTAAATGTCTTCAGATTTTTTATTTTTTATTCCATCCCTTTACCACCGATGCCATTTCAGATTTCCATATGTTTGAATGCTTTCCTAATTGTGGCTCTTGCTGTTGTTTGCCACTATTGCCTGAAAATTTTCCCCACTTTTTCTGTTCTTGAAGCCTGCTTGAATTTAAACCAGATATTGTCCATTGAGAAGTAGTTAAATATAATGATCAGGAACATTACACTCCCTATGTAATCAGCTATGAAATTGCTAGATGCCAAGCAATTTCAAAAGATCTATGTAAATATCTATATAAGTAAATATACAGTGTTTGTTCATGCTTTTCTTAACTAAATTTCCATGAATTTTATACAAAATGGAATAATAAATTAATTCTGAGCTTTATCTTGGGCAGTGGGGGAACCTAATTGAATGAAAATAGGAATTTCCTGCTGCTGGTATACCGATGAAAAATTTCACTTGAAGGTTTAATTTTCCTGTTTTAAATGCAGTATTTAAAATACTACATTAAAGCTCCTTTAATTTTTCCTTTGTAGAAAGACACTCATAATTATCTTTCTAATTTTACTTTAAAATATTTAGAGCTAATGGAAGTATAGATTTGATATGCTAATATACTGAGCATGAGGTTAATTATTGTTAAGTAGACACCAATGTTAGGTCATTATAACTAATGCATTAAACAGTTGTGTTCTGCAGTCTGATTTACACCCACCAAAGTACCCACTGCCCACACATGTACCTGCCTATAGCACCCAACTACTTGCCCACTTGCCCGCCTTTAGAACTCACCTGTGTTTCTGCTCATAGTACCCACCCACCACAGTCTCACCCACCTGCATTGCATAGTAATTAACTGCCCACTTGTAGCTCTTATCCTCTGGCCAGGTTATGAGCCACCTAAAAAGGAAAGGCTTGTAATGATTGTGACTAGTGAATTCCTGCTGGCTTCCCCATTGAGTTTGCTTTTTGGAAGCCCACAGGAAGTAGCAAGTTGTGGATACATTTGGTCCTTGCTTCATGATCCATCATCCTCATTTAATGACAGCAATGGGGACTGCGAGGATTGTCATCTCTAAATCTCATGGTCATGTGATGTCGTGTTTGACAATTGCATTGCTTAGCAATAGAAATTCTGGTCCCAATTACCATTGTTGCTCAAGGACCTGTTCAGTGACCATTCAAAGACTTGAGGGTGCTGAAAAAAAGAACCTGTTAGTGATCCTTGAACTTATGACAATCGCAGTGCCCCTGTGGTTATGTGATAACAATTCAAAACTGCCTGCAATTAATCCAGCCTTCTACGCTGCCCACCCCCAGCTGTTGTCTTCTTCATCTCCCCTCTTCTGGACTTAACAATCCTATTTAGTTCACAATCAACACAGAAACGCTTCCATACAAATGTACATTCACATTTCAAATTAAACAACAAACTTCTAATGCAATCTTAAGCATTGCCTTATACATTTATCCATAAATACATTAAGCATATAAGAGGAGCCTGAAACTCTTTGTCTTTCTGCTTTCCCAATGTATAACCAGTGTCTAAGTGTTCCATTTATTCTGTTGAATGCTTTACTTCCATTATGCTCCTACTCCATTCAGCAATCAACTTTTATCTTCATATTTGAATGTATGTGTAATTCAAGGCTATTTATCACTTTCAAGCCAATTCACTTTCTTTAAATCAACAAACAATTAACTTTTCTTTTCTTTGATATATATTATTCAATGACCTGCTGAAAAACCATAATTTGACTCATACATCTCTTGCTGGGCACAAAGTTTCAGCATGCTTCCCAAATTTGTTCATTGTTATTTCTCATGCACTTTCAATCAAAAAACTGTATCTCCCCAGGCACACTTAACAAATTACTCTCTTTCTAGTTTTCATTCATTCTTTTACTATAGTGTTCATCCAGTTCTCAAGCACAGATGGAGTGTTCACACACGCATTAAACATAAGTTGCACAACCATTACATTTTTCCAATAATGCCATCTATACTGTAGCTCAGTGTTTTTCAACCTTGGCAACTTTTAAGATGTGTGGATTTCAACTTCTAGAATTTCTCAGACACTATGGAATAACTTTTTTCTTTTTTATGAAACAATTTAGATTTATTACATTTTAAATCTCAGATAGTGTAGTTGTTCCAAAGTATTATATAGCAAGGAATACATGTAATAGAAAGAAATGTACTTTGCATATGTAAAATTATACTAAAGGAAAGATTTCTCCTGTACCTGGACTTGAATTTCTGTGTTTAGGAAGCTTTTGTATGGGGGAAGTATTCAGTCCTGCCATATTCCATTTGCTATCAATTATTTTCAATCCAATAATAGTTTTGCTACTTTGCTCTACCACTTCAATTGCTGTTTTATTAAACTTGGTGGTGGGGAGCTTCCTCTAAAAGCATTAAAATCATAAACTCTGATCAAGGTGCATTACACTGCTGGCTGCAGATTCCCTGACTCTAGATTGCTCAGGGATGTCGAACTCGATTTCATTGAGGACCACATAAGGGTTGTGTTTGACCTTGGGGACTGGGGTGGGTGTGGCTTGGGTGGGCATGGTCAGGGAAGGTGTGGCCAGCTCAAGGTCACTCATGTCGGGGGCACCTGTGGTGGCCAAAAGCTAAGGCAGTTCTTCCCTCAGACCATCCCACACTCTCATTATAAACTCCTTCCCTACCTCCCTTCTTTTTCTTCCTCCTTCATTCTCCTTTCTTCTTCCTTCCCTTCTTTCCTTATTTTTTCTTCTTCTCTTCCCATCTTTTGCTTTGTCTTTCCTCTCCCTTTCTCCTCTCCTGTCCCTTGCATGCTCAACTGCAAAAGGGGAAACATTTATCCTTTTGTTTTGTTTTTAGTTTGTTTTGCAAAAAAGCTCGGGTGGGCCACACACCCCTGGGCCTTGTTTTTGGCTGCCTGAACTCTGGCCCAGGGTGTTTTTGCTGGCAAAGACACCCTGGCCCAGTCCTTTGCTGTTTCCAGAGGGGGCCCATGGGCCAGATCTAAGTACCCTGTAGGCTGGATCCAGCCTGCGGTCCTTGAGTTTGACACCCTGCTGCAACTCATCAATAGGTGAGATGATTTGGAATGATGAGTTACATTCCACAATTGTGTTAAATGAGTTTTTCAAAGAAATAAACATCTAATATAAGAAATTCTTCAATATTACTTTTTAATTATAATTAAACATGAAATATAAAAAATATAATTAAAATTATTTCTATGAAATAATTATTTCATAGAATATTTTTAATAGTTTACACATATTTTATAGTGTCTTTCACCTGTTTTGAGTAACATGAACTATTGAATTGTTTAGATTGTGCCTAATTACCTATAAATCTAGAAGACGAAGTCTTGAAAATATTGCATTGTCATAAACTAGTAATTTTCTTATATTCTACAGAATGACAGGAAGGGAGTTCTTTACTCGATTTCCAACTCTTTATCCATTTTTGCTCAGTCAGTTGGAACAAATAACCAGTACAGCAGACAGGTAAGAAAACATATTGTTAGTATCACAACAAACTATTAGAGAAGCAGAAAATGGGTTGGTAGGATATAATTCCCTGGACATTCTTCAAAAGTTATTTGGAAGAAGTACTTCAGACCTGGCATGAACATGCTACTTTTCTGCTGTTCGTAAAAAAGACTAACTTTTTGGGTTTTTTGGCATCCATGTCAGCCTGAATAAAAGTATGGTTTCTTTAAATAGTATCTATTACAGTTTATGGTGTTTTTGTCTGGAAGCCTGAAAAATGTAGGTTGCCTTAATGATTAGTTCTGAAGTACTTTTCTCTTATCAATTTTTAAGTTACTCACAATTCTTTTGGACACTCTTTAAAATCAATTAATTATTTTCTTCATTCTTATGTAGTTTTTGAACATAAAAAGATGACATTCTGCATTAAAATGATTTTTTAAGATAAAATTCACATTGATATATTGTGACTCGGCTTTCCTATAGAGAAAAAATTAGTTTTTAAAATATGTTTAGTTTAGTTTACTTTATTGTCATTGCACCTCGTACAATGAAATTAAATGACATCTTCAGTGTACATTATAACTATAAAAGTAAAACACAAACACACATCCTTCACATTCTACACCACTGAACTGAAAACCTGATATTGCATTAATATTGCGCTATACAGTAGACTGTATACAGTAGACGGTACAGTAAAAGGAACATGGTGGCTCAGTGGCTAAGACACTGAACTTGTTGATCAGAAAAGTTGTCACCTCGGCGGTTCAAATCCCTAGCGCTGAGTAATGGAGTGAGCTCCCGTTACTTGTCCCAGATTCTGCCAACCTAGCAGTTTGAAAGCATGTAAAAATGCAAGTAGAAAAAGTAGGAATCACCTTTGGTGGGAAGGCAACAGCATTCTGTGCATCTTTGGCATTTAGTCATGACGGCCACATGACCACGGAGGCATCTTTGGACAGTGCTGGCTCTTCAGCTTTGAAACGGAGATGAGCACTGCCCCCTAGAGTCGGGAACAACTAGCACATATGTGCGGGGAGGGGGGGAACCTTTATCTTTTTATACAGTAGAATTCAATATAGTTTCTTCCTTTTATTCTTTATGTTCTTTTATTGCAATGTATTTGGATTGTATGCTTGTGTGCATTTTAAAACATGTAAAACATATACATTTGGTTCATGACTATGAAATTCTATTCTTAACATTTGGCCCTTTATCTGTATGGATATTTGATTGAGAAAGCAATATTATTATAATTCAGACAAACTTTGCATATTTTCATGTAGTAAAACTAAAGAGTTGAAGCTTCATCCAGGCTTATTTCTCTTGCTCTTGGTCTTGAGTAAGCTGTATCCATCACCAATGGATGGCACATATTCTGCTCTCAGCATGGCTTCCTTTGTTCCTCTTATTTTGAGGTAAGTTGCATTTTTAATGCTTAGATTTCCTTGAGAAAGTTGGTAGTTAATTTTCTAATGCAAAGTATTATTAGTTTAAAATACTGTTTTCATTCATTCATTTACAACATTCATTTTAGTGAATATAAGTATAATATAGCATGTTTATGGAGTTTCTCAGATAGCCACGTCATGATTGTCCCAAAGGTGCTTTTTCAAAAGGCAAAAGTGAGAGAGAAGATAAATTTTCTTGAGAGGCTAAATAAAGTGATTTTGCAGTAAAGTACCTAAGGCACTGCAGTTATTTTTCTGCCTGTTTGATTATGGATGGCAATGATGGGTATGAAGATCCAGTTGTGTGGTCTTCTCATTGCCTTTCAAGAAAAGAAATGGCCAGGTTCTAGCTTAGTTCATTAGGAAACCCCAAGGGTTTGATTTTCTATCTGTATTTTTATAATTGAGTTAAAACTTGCTGTGTTCTAAATGAACTATGCATAAATCATTTTAGTCACAAATCTCGATAATTTGTGTGGTAAGATCATTTGTTCTCCTTCTTAAATGAGACATCTCTTATTCATTATGATATTAAAATTGCATTTTAATCTAGTAAATACTACATATAAGCATGTTTATCATAATGTAAATACCACATGGTTGATTCTTCCTACTTTTCTGTCTCTAACACATGGAACACTATATGCCAGTGATGGCTAACCTTTTTGATACCGAGTGCCCAAAGTGTGCACACATGTAAATGTGCATGCACCAACACCTAAAATGCAATGTGAGCGCCCCCCATATATGTGCCCTGTGCATGTGCCCTTCCCTGCTGCGCATGCGCTCTACCCTCCTTGCCCCTTTTTGGCTTCCAGGTTAGTCCAGGCCCAAACAGGCCGGGGTGGGGGCTCACACAGTGCCCCTGGGCCCCATTTTGGTTTCTAGGTTGGTGCAGAAGGCCTTCTAACCCAAAAATGAGGCACGGGGGGACACATGCACAAACCCCCACACATGCGCCCTGCCCCCATCGCACATGCACGGTGGATCAGGGCTGGGGTGACAGCTGGCATGCCTGTAGAGAGGGCTCTGTATGCCACCTGTGGCACACATGTCATAGGTTCACTATCACAGCTATATGCCCTTATTTGTCTTGGTTAGCAGTTTTGGTCTGTTTTTACTACATGTGGATTTCTGTCTTCTCTTTTAAATGCTGGTTAATTCTGATT